CCCCAAAACCCCAAAACCCCAAAACCCCAAAACCCCAAAACCCCTAATAAACTCTGGAGAATTGGCAGATATAATAATTATGAGATTTAGTATTTTCATTTGCCTGTTATCCCTAGCTTTCTGATACACAGAAGTGAATACGAGCAGGGACTCAGTCAAGTGCCTCAAGGATCCAACAAAGAAGCTATGCGGTTGGAACCTCAAGTCAGAGCTCAGCAGCAGAATTTGCTGTGATCTAGATGACCTCAGCGAAGAGTGTGGACAAATAAGCGGAGTCACATGTTCGAATGATCTTGAAAAATTAGGTGACAAAGCTGGATATCTTTTGGCTCTTCCTTCTGAAGACTGTGAGAACACCAAATTTATCGCCAAGGATCATTCACCTTTATTCCTTAATATCAGCTATGTGCACCCTGAATTAGTCTGTGTAGTAAAGATTAGGAACAAAGGATCGTATTCCTCCAGACTCAGATTGATAGAAGATGAGTTTACCAATATTGATGCTTTTATTTATGAGACAGATCTTGACCATACCTTCTTCGAGAAACGTGACCAATTCACCTCTTCAGAAGCTATCAGCCCTGTTGGAGACCTTAGAGATTTCCATATCTGGTATGATAACACCTCTGTCATTGTAGTCCTAGCAAAGGATGCAACTCAGGGCCATGGTGTCTTTAAAGCTGACTTACATCCTCTACCTGCGTTTGAAGATGAAATTGAGCATATTGAGGATCATATGAAACAAGTCAGGCGTGATTGGGTAGTCTTCGCTATGTTCATAATCGGCGTGATCCTTGTGATCTGAGTTTTTCCCCTGTATTGCACATCCTTCAGAAAGAGAGACCAATTTCAGCAATACAATGGTCTAGATCTCAGAAGTCTGAAAAGTGAAGTGGTTGATCCTCAACAGATTGTGTTCGGGCAAGTTGATAAAGAAAAAGGAAATTCTAATCTATTTGGATATCACGAGAGGTTAATGCAATTCAGACAAGAGAACTTATAAACTTCTGGATCTCAGAATAATTCCTGAACTTCATAAAAGATTCTCCATTAATTTTAAAGTTTGCCTTGGTCTCATTTTCCTTTGTCAAAATACAAGTATATAATCTTGACACATCTCTAAATGGTGTTAACCTCATAGCAATATTTCTTTATCGAAGAGAAGCTTATTCTAAATTTGAATCGATCTAACAAAATAGCTGAGTTTGTAGCTTCTTTTAAGTTTTACTCTTTCTCTATCTTATAAAAATCTTGCTATAAACATTAATCAGTTCTGATAAATTAGATATAATATAGAACTCATCTCACACAAATCACGAGAGTCTGTAAGCTGAATGAAGTATAAATGGGAGCCTCTATAAGTTTAAGATAATTGAAAGTTAACTTACATTTGATGACATCATTTTTAAAGAAGTCTTATCTAAACCAGATTTTAAAAATAAACTCAAATATTTACCATATTAAGTCCTTAAGTTTCAAAACTATTCTTTTCTTTGAAATCTTTTCAATTTTATAACTACTCTCAGGGGTTTTGGGGTTTTGGGGTTTTGGGGTTTTGGGG